CTTTATCAAATGGATGTTAAAAGTGCCTTCCTTAATGGTATCATTCAAGAGGAAGTGTATGTCGAACAACCCCCGGGTTTCGAAGACTATGAGTTTCCCGAACATGTCTTCAAACTCAAAAAGGCGCTTTACGGTCTCAAACAAGCACCTCGTGCTTGGTATGAACGGTTAAGCAAATTTCTTTTGGACCATGAGTTCAAACGGGGTCAAGTCGACACTACACTTTTCATCAAGAAAGATAACCAAGACATCCTTTTGGTTCAAGTTTACGTAGATGATATCATATTCGGTGCTACTAACGAGGTTTTGTGCAGGGATTTTTCCGATATGATGCAAAGTGAATTTGAGATGTCGATGATGGGAGAATTAAAGTTCTTCCTTGGGCTACAAATTAGACAATGCAAAGAAGGGACATTCGTGTGTCAAACGAAATATTGCAGGGAATTGCTTAAGAGATTCGATGTTACCGAATCCAAATCCATTGACACACCGATGAGCACCTCTTGCTATCTCGACAAGGATGAAAAAGGTAAAGAGGTAGACATCAAACGCTACCAAGGTATGATCGGCTCTTTACTTTATCTTACCGCGAGTAGACCGGATATCATGTACTCCGTTTGTATATGCGCTAGGTATCAATCATGTCCTAAAGAGTCGCACTTGGTTGCGATCAAAAGGATAATGCGATATCTCGCGGGCACGTTGAACGTAGGTCTTTGGTATCCCAAAGGTTTGACATGTCGTCTTGTTGGCTATTCCGACTCGGATTTTGCAGGTTGCAAACTCGATAGGAAAAGTACCAGCGGTACTTGCCACTTATTCGGTCATTCGTTAATCTCGTGGTTTAGTAAGAAACAGGTTAGTGTTGCACTTTCCACCACTGAAGCGGAATATGTCGCTGCGGGAAGTTGTTGTGCCCAAATTCTTTGGCTAAAACAGCAACTAGTGGATTTCGCCCTTATACTTGATCACATCCCAATTAGGTGTGACAATATGAGCGCCATTAGTCTAACGAAGAACCCTGTTCTTCACTCGAGGACTACACACATAGAAATTAGGCATCACTTCATACGAGATCACGTCTAAAAGGGAGATGTCACAATTGAGTTTGTTGAAACGAAACATCAATTGGCTGACATTTTCACGAAACCCCTTAGTAGGGAGAGTTTCTTCCACATTCGGAACGAACTTGGCATTTTGGATATCTCTATGAACTAATTCATTCTTGTTATTGATTATACTAATTTGAGCGTCGGAGGCGCGATAAATTCTTTTTTGCAGGGCTTTTATTACAGGTATCTCTTCCCTTGGTATTCAACCAAATTGGACTTGATGATTTTTTTTTCTGTCAAACAAGTTTTAATCGATTAATCCTCAAAGAGAAATCGACTAGTCGCCTCTGTCCCTCTTAATCGATTACTGGTCTTTTGTTAATCGATTAAAAAAAAGAAACCTTCTTTAGCTCTGCTTCACTTTTAATCGATTAATTTTGTTCAATTAATCGATTATACTCATCTGTCCATCTTAATCGATTAACCATCTTTATTTAATCGATTAATAGCTTGAAACGCAAACGTTTGGGTCTGCTCCACTTCTAATCGATTAATAAGTTTACTTTAATCGATTTGCCTCGGTTGTGTTCCGTAATCGATTAAATACTTGTTTTTAATCGATTAATATTCGATTTTTGCCCTTATATCACAGCCTGTCTTCGTCTTCTTCGCCATTTTCATCATAAGAATCAGAAACCCTAGCTCTTTCCCTTCTCCGTTTTTTCTCAATCTTCATAAAAAACTTCTCAAAATTCTTCCATTTTCTCACCAAATTTTATCAATTTCAAAGAGGAAGGATGCCAAGGTGCAAGAACGCTTCATCGCGTCAAGAAACGGCGGCAGAAGAGGGTGAGAGGCCATGGCGTCGTGAAGGGGGCAAGTACATCCACATACAAACCGGACTAGCCTTCAACACTGGGGCTTCAGCAGAGAGGTTCCACAACATCTTTCTGACAAAGGAAATCGTCTCACCAAAGATTGTGGACATGGACCTCTTCAAATCGGCAACCTATGCCCCGAGTAAGTCTCTTTTTGCTCAACAAGGTTTGCTTCGTTTCATTCACTTGACGTATGAATTCTTTTGTCCAAATCTTATACGTCAATTTTATGCAAATCTTCGTACCACTAAGGGAGACTCGTCATCTCTCGTTTCCTATGTTGACGGCAAAAGCATTGAAATTGATAGTGCCGGTTTGACCTCTCTCTTTGGCCTTCGCCGAGGTGAAATTACTGAAAACTTGGATGAAACATTCCAAGATAAGGAAATTTGGCGACTACTCGGGTTAGACTCTCGTGACCTCAAATTTAGAAACTCTAGCAACCCGAGTGTCATCAATCTCACTTTGATTCAACGTGTTCAACAATACATCTTTTCCTATGTTTTATTGCCCCGTGATTCGAACCATGGCGTTGTCAACAAGGATGATATTCGTTTGTTTCACGTCCTGTTGAACAATGTCAAATTTGATTGGGTTCACTTCTTTGTCGTTGCACTTAGTGATGGTACTCGTTTTTCCCATCTCCGTTTTGCCATCCCGATCATGCATATCCTTGCTCATAGCAAAGTGGATTTTACTCGGGACACTCAGGTGCCGGTTAAGAAGACTTGTTTCATCACTGAAGCCATGTTTTCCCGGATCGTATACCGTGAGGAGGGCGATGCTGCACCAAATCTGGACCTGATAGTCACAGAAGAAGAAGAGAGCCAAAGCGAGACTCAAGCTGAGTCATCTCAAGCCGGAGGAAGTCGAACCATGAATCGCGTCACTCGTCAACGCAAGACTCGTCCGAGAGAAGAAGCACCAGAACCTTCTTGGGTGAAGAGGATCCTTGATACTCTCACATGCATCCGAGATGACGTTCGCCAGCTCAACGAGAGGATGACTCGTTTCGAGCATTCCCGCTCTTACCGTGGCCCGCGTCACAGCTTCAGCGGAGGAGCTCGTCCAGCGAACTCTCTTTGATTATTTTCTCTTCTGTCTTAACTTATTATGATACATTGCTATTTGCTATTGTTGTTATAACTCTTTTGGTGGATGATGATGTTGCTAATCATGCATTTGTTTGTTGGTTTGACAATATGGTTCTCTTTTTGAACATATTGTCCCTTTGTGGCTATTAGAAGTTTTTTTTGGAAAACTCTTACAAAAAAAAAAAAATCTATCCTTCAAAATCCCGGCATTGATTAAGAGGGAAGGATATCAATTGATAATGCCAAAAGGGGGAAGGAAGGATAGTTGAGAAAACTTGGTTTTCAAAAACGTTTTTCCGCTTATTACTCCGACATTATTTTTTACTGCACTTCTCTAACCATGCAGGGGGAATTATATTAAGGGAAGTATTTCTTGAACTCTTACTTTGCTTTTTCTCAACTATGTTTGTCATTATCAAAAAGGGGGAAATTGTTGGACATGAGTTCAAACCCCTTTATTATTTTTGGAATAATTTTTGTTTTGATGAATGACAAACAGGATGATTAAATTCAAGCTGATCGAAATTTATTTTTCATATCGAGAAAAGCAAAAAGGCGTATCAAGATAAAAATCAACGCTCACCCCTACGCAATTTTTTTTTGAAGTGAAGTGAAGACTCCGAAGACTTTTTAATTTTTATTGAGTCTAGGATTTTTGTAAGGATGACAACACCTTCTGCACAAACAAATTAACTTCTGAGGGATAAAAATTATTATTTCTGGAGTCAGTTGAAAAATCTTTTTAACTGTTCAAAATAGTTTTATTGAGTCTGTCACAAAAGGTGTGTCAAACATTTATCAAATATTTATTTTGATATTATAAAATATTTTTGGTAAGCAAAAATATTTTATCAAATATTTTCGTGTTCATCGTTTGACACACAAAATAATTTTAGGACTCACTTTTTTCTCCCCTATTCAAATTCATTGAATGAGAGGCTTTTGATTGAGGAGCGTTGCTACTGATTCCCGTTGTCTCAAACAACAAGTATCAAGCCAATTCACTCCTCATCGCAACTGGCCTTGGGTCATTTGTGTTTGCGCATTATTTTTTCATTTTAATCGATTAATTACTCTAAGATAATCGATTAGATCCAATTGCTTTCTCAGCGCGTTTCTCAGGTCATACAGTTAATCGATTAATACTCTTCAGTTAATCGATTAGTTTGGACAGATCAAGCTAATCGATTTTCTCCTCTTGTTTAATCGATTAATTGAATGTTGTTTGAATTCCTTGGCTTACCGACTAATCGATTTATTGCTTCAGTTTAATCGATTAGTTCCAATCTTGTTTTCAGGCATTTTCGCCTCTGTGTACCGTAATCGATTTATCTATCCAGTTTAATCGATTAATTTCATCTGGTGCATATTTTCAGCCTGCTCCAACGGATTTATTTTACTCAGCCTATTTAATCCCTCATTCTCCTTCATTCCTATACTTCACTCTTGCACTCCAAATTCTCATTGAGCCATTGTCATCCCTTGCTTCATCTTCCTCATCAAAACATTATTTTTTGAGAATTATAAATATTTTCTTTGAGTGCTAAAGAAGTTGTCATCCATAGAGCTTTAATTCCTCAAACACTACTTTGCTCAATTGTGTGAGCTTTCATTCTTGTGTTGTAAACTCAATCTCATTTGAGTGTTGTTCATAAGACTTGTGTGACTCAAGTCTTGTTGTTGTAAGAAAGTGAGGCTTGTGTGATTCAAGTTCTCAACTTGTACCGGTTTTTCAAGCACCCGTTGAAGCTTGAAGATTAGTAGGACTTTCGAGAGAGTCTCTCGGAGGACTGGACTAGCCACGAGGTGGTGAACCAGTATAAATCCCGGTGTTCTTCTTTCCCTTACTCTCTTTACTTATTATTGTGATTTTTTATTTCACACACGCAAAAAACGCACATTCTTGAAAACAACTCTATTCACCCCCCCTCTAGAGTTGCACATTTGTCTAACGTATGGGTCTATCGTCTCATCAGGCAGAGCATAGAAAGTTATGCTTCTTTTTGTGATTTCAAATCATTTTTCATCAATATGAATATGATCATAAAAGTCATGAAATGTGTGGTTCATGGGGATTGATAGGGGAGAAATATGCTCTTGACAGAATTTAAGCCTTTTCAACTTACCTGATTCACACAGTAATGGCTTTATGGAATTTGAATATGATCATAAAAGTCATGAAATGTGTGGTTCATGGGGATTGATAGGGGAGAAATATGCTCTAGACAGAATTTAAGCCTTTTCAACTTACCTGATTCACACAGTAATGGCTTTATGGAATTTGAATGCCTCCTAATCTGCTTTAACTCAAGCCATCTATGGACTGTGGATTTTGATACCCCCATTCCATAGCTTAATGCACACATGTTTTTGCGCCTGTTGAAAGGTAGAGCTGCCATTTTTTTAAAGTCCGCAGCCATCTTTTTTCTGCCAGAGTTTCCTTTCCACTTACACTCTACAACATTGGGTTGACCTCCCTGGATTTGAGCCTGAACTACCTGCCAAATGCTGCTTACTGTTCTACTTGTAATGCTGAATTCTTCAGCCAGTTTTTTTATGGCACCGTGCTAAAGTTTGCCATTCCTACAATGTTGTAGTAACTGATCCGCAATTCTTTTCCTTCTTTGATTTAATAAAGCACCTTTACTTTCCGATTGTGTTTCTGTTTCTGTTTCAGGGGTGAAAAGATTGGGTAAAGGGACTTTAATAACTTGGGGAAGATGGTCAAAGGAAGAAGAATCATCCTCGGAACAAGTCAACGAAGGCGATGGAGAGTACAACGGGGACTCGAATGGAGGATTCATTGGAGAAGGAAGGAAAAAGAACAAAGGAGGAGGAATGCATTGAATGCATTCACTGCGTTCATTTAAGTAGAAGTGTGGTGGGTATTTGTAATTGGAGTTTGCTATTTTTGGAGGGATGTCTCTGGAGGGAATTTCGAAATTCTCCAAAAATAGCCAAATGTTTTAAAAACATGTTTTGGTGTGTATTTGAATGGATTTTGTGGCTGGTGTTGTGTGGATGGTGTTGTACTTTTGCCTAACCCCCATCATTACCCTTGTGTGAGGAAGGGAGGGAATGGGTTGTTTACACTATTTGCTTTTGTACTTTTGATGGGCAAGTACACTTCACATTAAATACAATTTACTTTACACTATTTTCTTCTCTTTATTAGATTAGGGTTGAGGGTAAATTTGTCAAGTCAATGACAAAAATTTGGCCCCTTAAATTGGTTGAAAGTCAAAACAAGAAAAGGAAAAAGGGACGGAGGGAGTAAATTTTATGGATGAATTGAGCTCTTTGAAAAAATAAAAGATCCACATACAGGCCCATTAAAAGTGTGAGAATTGAATATGCATATTCCACATGTGAACCTTATGATCATGAAAGCATAACTTTTTAAAAAAATAAAATATTATTGTCTAGTCTTGTTTTATACTTTCTGGCGTTTCTGCATCCTAAATTAACTTCTTGTTGCGTTTTACGATGTTTGGCTAAAGGTATTTTCAATTCAATTTACTGAAAAACTGGTGTAGATATTAAAAAAATTATATGATTGAAAATTACATCAAATGATCTAGAAGTGACATTAAATAAGTTTTTATCAAATAAGTAATAGAAATAGACTAAAAATGTAGATAAAGTTACACCCAATGAATAGTGAATTGGAAGATATGTTTAGGACGGAAGGAGTAGAACATTTGAAAAACTTTTGAAATATGTTTTTGTACTTTTATTTTTATATCAATTTATATATAAAATAATTTTCAAAGAGAAAAGATTTCACACATTGTTCAAATGGAAAAATTAACAACAAATCAACAACTTAAATTACACTACAATGAAGTAAAATGAGACAAAACCTTCAAATTTTTTTATCAAAACTAATCAGTTCACGCAAAGAGAATAAGAGCACCGCAATAAATTCTGAACCTAAGAGTGCATTTGGTTGGAGAGTACATGTTTTCATTAAAAATTTTAATTCTAGTTTTCTACATTTGATAACATAATCTAGATCAAATTAGTTTTCTCGTCATTTTAAGTTCGGTTTCAATTTATTTGCTAGGTCTACCCTACTCACACAAAACATCCCTTCCATTACACAAAACACTCCCCAGCGAGGCCAATCCATGCCTTTTGACATGAAAGTATGAAACATGTGGTTCATATTTTTTTCTCAAAGTTTTTGAAGTGGAAGACCAACTTTGTTCTTTATTGGAGTATTTATTATTTTTTGGTATTAAGTTGTTTTAGCCCATAGTTTCTATTGGGCTTATGGCCTGCATAAATTGTATACTCCGTATATATTAAATTGCATATATATTGGTCTTGTGCATAATGAAACCCTGAGAAGTTATTTTTCAAAATTTTACATTCTTCTATGCTACTTGTATTTCTCCACTTTCCCGCATAAGTAGCTTATATGACACTGAGAAAAGAATGTTAAGTACAAAGTGTCAGGGTAGGTTTCTCGCTGATGAGGTAATCTGGGAATGCACCTGATACATGATAGTCTTTCGAAGAACCAGACTAGCTAATATTATACTGTGATTTAGTTATTATATATTCATTGGAATGTAAAAAATCAAATTTAGTTGTTATTTTTTTAACAATTTGAAATAATACATTTGGACGATAAAGATGGTGTTCAAATGAGCAAATGTAAAAATTATGGTGAAATTTGCACTAAACTAAAATATAAGCTATTTCCTAATATGGACTTAAACTTTTCTATTTTTTAAATAGGACTTAATAATGTCTAGTGAGAGAAATAATGTCCAGTGATGGTGGACGTTACTTGAATAATGACTAATGGATAATGACTAATAGTCTTACATTGAGAAATAAATACATATGATCAAATATTGAAAAAGTCATTATGTTTTAGTCCTATTTAAAATAAATTCTTCAAAACTATATAGTACTCCGTATATTATTAGAATGAAATACGAATAATATTTTGAAAGTGTTTTGCAAGTAAAATCTTGAATCTTTATTGATAATTGGTTTTCCATCTTTATGGATTCCACAAGCTTGAATGCCATATGTGAAGGGAATGACATCGCCGGAGACCCCTAACATGCAAATAAGGCATGAAACATAAGATTGATGACATACAAATCTGAAAGAGGGAGTCCCACATTCCCATTCAATCCACTGCTCTCACGCCTAACTCCTTATATTGTACTCCATTCGTTCCATAAAATTCTTCCTTGTTTGTTTTTTTCCAATTCTCTAAAACAGTTCCATTTTCTATTAAAAACCCACTTTTACTCCTATTTTTTCATACCTACCTATCACATTATAGTTTTTCTCTAATAACCAAACTATCACATCTTACTTTTACCCATTAGATCAGGGCAAAATTGGAAAGTTAATCAAAATTATACTTTCCTCATTTTGGTCCAAAGTCAAAATATGAAATGTTTAAAGGAACGGAGAGAGTAATTTGAAGGATATTTCATCAATTCGGATTTGCCTACTTCATTTGTCTCAATTCCATTTTTGATTGATTCTGCTAGTAAAATCAAAATAAAAACCCAACCGAATAACCTAATCATGCTTTCTACTAACAATAGCAAGAGTAAATTCTAAAAATGATCCTCTCTAGTAAGGTGTTTTTTTCTAGATCAGTCCTTAATAAGTTTTTAATTTGAATTGGTACGTGGTCGTCTATAATTGAGATTTATTCTAGTAGATAGTAATTTGTAAACAATGTTTCTCACTTGATGATGATTTGATGGATACTTTGATAATTTTTCCAGCTAAATTTAAAATATGTTTTTAAAATGATCCTTACTAATAAAGTGCTTTCCCGATATAATTTTTTCTAATTAAAGATGCATATTTGATTCAATTTTTAAATTTTTTTAATAGATTTTTAATAATTCAATTATTAAACCCTACATTGTGGTGAGTTGGGGTAGTTTTTGGTCCTCTTTTGGCCTTTAAACGTAAAACTTATGAGTTTTGATTTTTTTTATATAAGAACCTTTTTCAGTGTTCGGTAAAAAATAAAAAGAATTTAAATTCGATATCTCTAGATATCACAAAGAATAAATTCTATAATTAGTCCTTTATAATAGAGGGTTTCTGTATTTAGTTCTCAATTATCAAATATTACCCCAGTGGTCCTTCTTTTATAGGTATCTTTCCACAAATAGTTCTTTTTTGATCTTCTATCATGTTGGTTTTAATTTAAGGCTAAAAGTGTAATTTAACAATGATAATATATCTCTTTTGTCATACACAATTCCAAAGGCTGTTCCGTTTGCGTCGTTTGTGAATTACAGCCGCTTTCTACTACAAACATAGTCTACAAATGTGGGCTTTCGTTGGAATCCTAGTCCACAATCGTAGTCATTATTTTTGTGTTATCCGCTAAACCAATATCAGAACACGTCACTAGACGTAATGTTGATGTCAAATTATATATTTAGCCTTCAAATTAACACTAACATGAAAGAAGATAAAAAAAGGACCATTTATGAAAAGATACCTATAAAAGAAGGACCACTGGGGTATTTTTTTTATAATTGAGGACTAAATAGGGAAACCCCTCTGTCATAAAGGACCAATTATGAAATTTATTCTATCACAAACCTTTTAATATTAGGGGTTCAGTTTTGTCTCAATCGTCGACCACCTACCGCTACCAGCAACCAGTGTCACTACCATCTTCCCTTATAACCTTGTTTAGTATTTTTCGACCAACCAAATATCACTAAGGCTTCGTTTGGTACACGAAATTGATGGAATTGAAATTGAATTGGAATTAAAATTCTATAAAATTGAATTCACCAATTCTAATTTATTTTTTACACTACTAATTCTAAATCCACATAATTTTTGTGCTACCAAATACCAGAATTGGAATTGAAGTTCTCATTTCCAATTCCATAGTGTGAATTCCGTATACCAAACGGGGCCTAATTAAATCATGATTTCAAATCTTTCTAAATTATTTCACATTTCATAAGCTATGTGTAAAATCAAAGGAAAAAGTTTTTATATAGGGAAGTAGCGGAGAAGTATAATAACTTAGGGGCTGTTTGTTTCAGCCTCTTAATGGTTCAGATGTCTGAATGGTTCAGCACTTAATGGTTCAGACTGTTTGTTTCAACCTCTTAATGGTTCAGATGTCTGAATGGTTAAGAGATTTGCCTCTGAATGGTTAAGTATTATACAGAGTCTGAATGGTTAAGACCTCTTATCTGAATTGATCAGACATTTGCCTCTGAATAGTTAAGCAATATACTAGCTCTTAATGGTTCAGACCTCTTACTGGTTCAGCACTTAATGATTCAGACCTCTTACTGGTTCAGCACTTACCGATTCAGAAGTTGCCAAACAGCCCCTTACTCTTTTCGCCCTATAAAATTTCTTATGCTTTCTTGTTTTGAATGTCCCAAAATAAACCTTACACTTACCTTATTTTCTTTTTTGTAATGCATACTCCCTCCCTCCTACAAGAAGCTTTCACCTTTGATTTGACAGGGAGATTGAGAAAAATAATATTTTATGGTTGAAAGTGATACATATGAGAAATAAATGATAAAGACAACAAATCATTTCCATTTAGAAGTGGAAAATCTCTTTGGGATGAATGAAAAAGAAAAGGTAAAATCTTTTTAGGGTTAAATATGCTTTTAGTCCTTGTAAAATAGTTAGTTTTTGTTTTTGGTCCTGTAAAATTAAAAGAATTTGTTAACTCATCCTTAAAAAAATTATATTGAAAATAGTCCTTAAATGTAGTTAGCACTTCTAATTTGTTGACAACATATTTATTTCAATTCGTACTCAACATTCTAATCTTGCATTTTTAATTATCTCAGACATAATTCTTATGTCATTGATCGTGTTCTGCATCAAAATATATCTCCCATTTCTAAATTATGTTATATTAGCTAGATTTCTAAAATATTTGAGAATTAATTATGTAATATGAATAAAGACTAAATTTAGTGCATGTGAATTGTGTTGGAGGTAGTAAAAAAACAAGACTAGAATGTTTAGTACGAAATAAATGTGTTTTATCAACAAATTAGAAGCACAAATTATGTTTAAGGTCCATTTTCAATTTTTTTTTTTTGTAAAGCCGACTTAACAGTTTTTTTGTAGAAGCCACAAATAGAAATTGTTTATTTTATAAGAAATAAAAATATATTTAACCCATCTTTTTATACTCCCTCCTGTCCTAAAAACATGTGAGTTATTGATTTTTAATAGATTTGAGGGAAGTATATTTTGGTATTGAATTTCTAAAAAAATGCTTTGATGTGATTGGTAGATTATCAGTAAAAATGTATGATGCAATAAGTAGCGTATGAAAAATTAAGGAGTAAAAGTAACTTTTTTATAGAAATAAGAAGTGTTTTCAGAGACGAATAGAGTAGAATAAAGGAAGTATGTGGCTTCCAATAAATTCTAACCACACAATTTTTACTTTTTACTCCGTAATAACTTTCTTAAACATCTTAAATTAAAAATAATTAGTAATGGAACGGATGTATAATGTGATATTTTTGGTAAGAACTAAGAAGCATTTGTGGGATGGATGTATATTGTGATCCATTTGCTCTATTATGCCACTCGGATAAGCTCTCTCTATATATAGACTGCACACTTAGAACGTGGTTTGCTCACCACATTCCACACCCAACACAAAACAACAAAAACCCACCAGCTAGCAAATCAAATCAAGAATGACGAACTTTTCTGACCATAATACCCCTCTCCCCACCCTCCTCCTCCTCCTCCTCCTCCTCCTCCTATTTGCCGCACCAATAACAGCCGCTGCATCCCACAATAAGTCGTCGTCCCACTCTGTGTTCCGGGAATACATCGGCGCCGAGTTCAAGAACGTCAAGCTCTCCGACGTGCCAGTAAACCCCCACGTCGACCACTTCCACTTCATCCTCTCCTTCGCCATAGACTACACCACCACCTTCTCCCCCTCTCCCACCAACGGCAAATTCAACGTCTTCTGGGACTCCCAAAATCTCTCCCCCTCACACGTCTCCGCCGTCAAGTCCAAACACCCCAACGTCAAGGTCGCCGTGAGCCTTGGTGGCGACACCGTGGGGAAAGGACACCCCGCCCGCTTCGCCCCTACGTCTGTCACCTCTTGGGTCTCAAATGCAGTAACCTCCCTCACACACCTTTCCAGGTGATATAATTTAATAATAATCAGTCTTATTGAATTGAATAATGAAAGTGATATAGTACTTTCTCCATCCCTTAAAAAATTTTTCATTTTGATTTTTAAAGAGTTTAAAAGGAGTGTATTTTGGTGTTGACTTCCCAAAAATGCCCTTTGATGTGATGTATAATGTACGATGTGATGGGTAGATTAATAGAGAAAAAGTGTGATGTAATAGATAAGTTAAAAATTAATAGGGGTAAAAGTGACTTTAAAATAAGAAAAGAGAAGTGTTTTTTAGAACGGATGAAAAATGAAATTAAAGGGGAAAGATTTTGTGGGATGGAGGTAGTACAATACATGGAAAATCCAAAATAGCACGTGGATAATGTCTAGTAGCGGAAACAATGTCCAGTGATGGTGGACACTTGGTTTAAACAATGTCCAGTTGCGGTGAACATTTACTTGAACAATAACTAGTGGACATTGAACAGTGGTAGTACATTGGAAAATAAAAACATATGGTACTACATTAAAAAAGTCACTATGTTTTAGTACTATTTAGATAAATTTCCATAATACTCCCTTCGTTTCTTAAAATCATTCCTCTTTCATTTTTTTTTTGTTTTTCTTAAAACACTACCTATCACATCATACTTTTTCACTAATAACTAAACTATCACATCTTACTTTTACATATCACATCAGGAGCAAAATTAGAAAGTCAACTAAAATTACACTTTCCTTATTTTTTCCCAAAGTCAAAAAAAAAGAACCGTTTTGAGAAACAGAGGGAGTAATATTCTATTTCCTATATATCATTACCAGGCACTACCATCTGGACGGGATCGACATCGACTACGAGCACTTCAAGTCGGACCCGGAGACGTTCGCGGAGTGCATCGGGAGGCTAATCACCGCCCTGAAGGAGGAGGGAGTGATCTCCTTCGCCTCCATCGCACCGTTCGACGACCCCGGGGTCCAGAAACACTACACGGCGCTGTGGAAGCGGTACGGCCATGTCATAGACTATGTGAACTTCCAGTTCTACGCCTACGACAAGGGGACGACGGTGCCGCAGTTCTTGCGCCATTTTGATGAGCAGAGGGAGAGGTACAGAGGCGGCAGAGTGCTGGCGAGCTTCCTCAGCGGCGGGGGCGGCGGGCTGTCGCCGGAGAAAGGGTTCTTCGCGGCCTGCAAGAAGCTGAAGAGTGAGGGGAAACTTGGGGGCATATTTGTTTGGTGCGCCGATGAGTCGAAATCGAAGGGGTTCAACTATGAGAAGAGGGCTCAGACTTTGCTTGCAAAACAACCTTCAGAGTAATTAAAGTTTGGCTCTCTTAGTCGGTGGTGATGGTCAATTATAAGTCTATCTTTATTTTTAATCCTTTTTTTCTTTTATTCAAATAAATGCCTTCTTGGTCAAATTAATAATGAGAAAACTATGCAACTATTAGTGTTTTGTCTCTTGGAGTGTTAACAAATATCTTTGGGGGCCAAATAGCTCCGGTGCCCCTGTAGTTTGGAAAATTAACACTAATACCTCCTCTATTTTCAAAACTTACTTCTAAAGTTCCCGTGGTTTCAAAATGTTGCACCCGTGCCTGCTCTGATCATTTTCTGGCCATTTTCGGGCGAAGAGGGGGTATTTGCGCATAATTTTTAAACCATAAGGGGCATTCGTACTCATTTTTTATTTTTCGTTTATTATTTGTGTTTTTCTTTTTTTTAAATATTTTCTTTTTTTCCTGGATTTTTTTCTAATTTATTTTCAATTTTTTATAATTTTTTAAAATTTTATAATTTTTTTTGTTTGAAAAAAAAATAAAAAAAATTAACACACATTGCATCTATTTGAAATTAAGCATTTTCTTTTCTTTTTTCTTTACGTACTTATTTGGAATGTTCAAAAAGAAAAACCTAGAATAAAAAAATAAAAATATGGAAAAATATAATGAAAAATAAAAATACATAAAAAAAAGTCCGATACAAAAATGGCAAGCCTAAAAAAGTCCTTAGAAGTGAGATGTTCGAAAAAGATATTTATTTTTATTTTTGTTTTATTCTGTTTCTTATTTTATTCCTCATTTTTGTGAAATTCTCAAAAAAAAAGTTTACTTTTTCAGAAAAAACAAAAATTGTTGATTTGAGAAGTACATATACATTATATGTTAATTTTTTCAAACAAAAATAACTTTAAATTTTATGAACATTATAAAAATAATTTTAAAAAAACCTTTATTAATAAAAGAAATAAATAAAGTAAAAATGGAAAAAAACAAAAAAATAAGCGAAAAATAAATATCAGCACTTAAATATGTAGCAATGCCCCCCTTCTTCGCCGGAAAAATGGCCGGAAAATGATCAGAGGGGGCACGGGTGCAACATTTTGTAACCATAAGGACTTTAGAAAGAACTTTTGAAAACAGAGAGGATTTTGGTGCCTATTTTGCAAACCACGAGGGGTGCTGGCGCTATTTCAGCACTTAAATATGTAGCAATGCCCCCCTTCTTCGCCGGAAAAATGGCCGGAAAATGATCAGAGGGGGCACGGGTGCAATATTTTGTAACCATAAGGACTTTAGAAAGAACTTTTGAAAACAGAGAGGATTTTGGTGCCTATTTTGCAAACCACGAGGGGTACTAGCGCTATTTGGCCTATGCCGCTACTAAAACAACAAAAATAGAGTGGAAAAAAATTATTGTTTTAAAATTATGTTGTAGGGAGAAACACCTCTTGACATTAATACAACAATTATGTTATACTTCAAAAATTATTGTCTAAGAACTGTTTCTCCATATTGCACCATTGTACATAAAGTTTCTGAACTCCGTGACATACTTTAATTTTGTCTCTATTGTTTTATTCAGGGTTCAGCATTTGCATTTCTCCGGTGTGGGATACTGGAATGGCATTCAAAAAGGCATGGTTCTGTAAAAATTTTTGAAGTAAGTTTTATTTCTAGCCTCACATTTTGATTTGACCAAATTTTAAATACGGCGGTGGGGATTTAGCCGGAAAACGCTCCGACCCGCCGGCGGTTTCCGGCGGGTCGGAGCGTTTTCCGGCCATCTCCGGCAAAATTGACGCCGATGATCCACTCCTATGTGTTCGTGGCATCACGGCGACCTCCAAGGACCCCTCAATTGCAAGAATTGATGACGATTTGCAAAACCCCCAATTTTGGCCCCATTTTCGAATTTTAAGGTTTTTTCGAGTGGAAAAATTCAGATTCGAGGAGTTACAGGCTAAATTGGACAAAATGGTTTGGATATTCTTGATCCTCGTCTCAAGACGAAGAGAATGGCGTTGGTCCCGCCGAAATCGGACCAAGTTCGTTTTCCGGCGACTTTGACCGGCGGCGGGGCGCGGAAGAAAAGAAAAGAAGAAATGGGGTCAAATTGAAAATTTTAAAATATATAAAATTCTAATTTGGCCCAAATGACCGGAAGTTAACCTAGAAACGGGCTAATGGATCATTAGTGAAAGGATTGTGTAAGTTGAGGGATTTTTTTTGAAAGGATTTGAAGTTCAGGTACCACTTCAAAATTCCAGCTAAAGTTCAGGTACCATTGTTGTTTTTGGTGACAACAACAAAGGAAGGATCATTGGAAGTGGCACCGTCGGGAGAGACAATGCTACAACCGTTGAGAACGTTCTTCTTTTTGAGGGCCTCAAGCACAATCTTCTTAGCATTAGTCAATTGTGCGATAGAGGTAACCGTGTCATCTTTGATTCTAGTAAATGCATTGTAGAACGCTTGTGTGACAATAGGAATATTCTTTGTGGTAGTAGAGTAGATAACATTTACATGTTTGATC